CGGACATCGGACAAGTTTTGGCCTGGCTGGAGCATGGCCATAGGCCCCCTAAATGGAGGTTAAAAGATGCTAGTCGGGGTGTGAAGAGACTTTGGCATGAGTTTCCCCGGCTGGCTTTTGTGGAGGGACTTTTATGTAGAGTTGTTTGGCTACCTGAGGCAGGGCAGTCTACTCAGGTTGTTGTTCCTGCTCTCTTAGTTCCAGAGGTCCTGGGACACTTGCATGGTGCTCCACTGCCGGTATGTGTTGGTTGTTGAGGACTATTTCACAACATTTGTAAATCTGTATGCCATCCCCGATTAAAAATCCCCCACGGTCGCGGAGTGTCTCTTCCAGAACTACATCTTGGAGCATGGGGTAATGGAAACTCTGCACACTGATATGGGCAGACAGTTCGAATCAGATGTTGTGAGGCATTTGTGCGGAATGTTAGGTGTGAAGAAGACGCACACCACGCCTTATAATCCGAAGTCTGATGGCATGGTAGAGAGGTTTAATAGGACACTTATCGATCAGTTGGCGAAATCTCTGCTATCATGTGAGGGGGAGTGGGACTCTTTTCTGTCACAGGTCGCGTTTGCGTACAATACCAGTGTACATTCCAGCACAGGCTTCACGCCGTATTTTCTCACGCAGGGAGGCCAGGACTCCTGTGGATGTTTTACTGGATTCAAAGCGGGATGATCTGGTGCAGGGTCCCCGGGAAGACTTTTCTGGTTCCCTTCTCAGACGCTTGGACGCGGCGTTTGATCAGACAAGGGATAACAATTTTGCTGCAAGCAGCAAACAGAAGTTATACTATGACTATGGCACGTCCCATATGAAGCCGGGGGATTTGGTATGGTTAAATGATCCCACTGAGAGCCGCCGTAAGCTGGCTCCCCACTGGAAGGGGCCTTATCTGGTGCAGAGGCGAATGGATAGGGGTGATGAAGTGGGGGTCACGTACCAACTAAGTAGCCCGTTTGGGGATGAAGCCTCTCTCCAAACAGTCCATTATGACAGGCTACGGCGATACAACCTGCCGGTAGCCTTTCCCTCGGAGGGACCATCAAGGTCTCTCTTAAACCTTGCTCAGCCTCTTCCGTTGCAAGATGCAGTCTCCCCACAGAGCTCTGGACGCTTGAGGTTTTCCGATGGGGAAAGTGACAGTGATCTTGGGCCGGGTTCTGGAGCTGGTGATCTCCCTGAGCTTGAACAAGCCGCACCGACGGTGTCCCGGGCTGGGAGGTTAGCGCGGCCTCCTGTCCGCTTTATGGACTTTGTTATGGGCTGAGTGACTGGTGTTTACATGTTTGTGTGCTTCTTTTCTCCTGTGTATTCTATGCTGCATAATTTTTATTTATTTTTTCATGTTTCAAGTGTGAACAACAGGGGAATAGGTTATGTCATACCAAGTTCATGTTTTATTTGGGCTGTGGATGTGTATTTTTTTTTATGTTTTGTTGTGTTCTCACCATGTGTGTGGAAATGGGGACATTTCTTTCAGTAAGGGGGGACGCATGTAAGCATTGGGTTGAGAGGTCATGTGTTGTGAGCATGCGCAGTCTGTCCTGGTGTGGTGAAGGAGAGCGTGGTGAGACTCGATAATAATAAACGGAGGCGCTATGTGGGACGCTCCAAAAAGTACTAAGTTCCTGAGTTTTTGTTACACAGAAGTATCATTGAAGCCTTAACACCTCGGACGTTACACTAGTATGGGATTTCACATACAAAAACAGGAATCTACAGCTATGCTAGCAGCTCCATGAGGCTTTACTAAGGCATGCTGTGAGCTACACGCTAACATCAGCATGCTAACATGATCACAATGACAATGCTAACATGCTGATTACATTACATGTTACTTGTTAGACGCACCAAGGCTCTATCCACTGTGCCACACGCCTCCCCATGATAAGGAAAGATGTATACAATGTGCTTACCATCATATATGAGTTAGCATGCTAGCATTTGTTTATTAACATTTAAAACAAAGCACAGCTGAGGTTGATGAGACTGTCAGTAAGTTAGCGTTTTTTGGGCAAATTTGCACTTCCCAGTTGATAATTAAGGAGAGTTAAAATGATCCTTAGCTCATCCTGAAGCGACCATACATGTGTGAGCCTAATGGCATGTCAATCTATCAGATAGTAGTTTAAACATTTTCTCTAAAACCAGAATATGTCTGCTGTTGGTGTACAGGACATGTGGGAAATCGCAAACGTCTGTAAGCTTCATCCTCTGGGGACCATGAATGTTTATCCAAAATGTTACGACACTCATCCATTTGTTGTTGAGATGTTTGTGTCTGGAGTAGAAGACAGGCATATCTTTAAAAAGATTTGTAGTGGCCCATATCTTGAACTAATCCAGTTATTTTGCATCTATTTAAATATTTAGCCTTTTACTTTCTCTTCAATTTATTGTCCCTTTTTTCAGAAACCGGCTGTTTAAGTCATTTAAGCTGCTTGCTATGCCATCATATTATAAGCTTATATAATAACCAATCGCTGTATTTACTCACAAATAACCTCAACAGACCAGAGGCACTGAAAGTAGAGCAACACATTCTTCCAGGCTTCAATAAGCTCAGCCCTCACCTAACATAAAAATAAACAAAAAATGCTAAATGGTCCAACAGTCGCTTTTGGTGTATGTGAGCCCTTTGATTTCCCTAAACCAAGTCTCTTGATGGCTTCTCTGCAACATGAAACATGACACATCATCCATTATTCTGTACATGTGCCTGCTATCTCAGCCCGCTCCATATGGCCCCTGTTGTCTCCAGACACCCAAATCCCTTTCCTCAGGCCAGAGGCTGTTTTTGTGGGAACCATTACATTGCTCCTCATCCTCAGAGGAATGGGGTGACGATGATGAGCAATCACAGCCAGAGCAGACTTTCTGCCTCAAATTCTGACAGGATATTCAACAATTGACCGTATCTGCTTTGTTGGCCCAATTGCTAATTCATGCAAGTTGACAATCTGGAGGCAACAATTATGAGAGATGAAAGCAGTGAAAATAAGAGGAGAGAGCACTTAAGGGGACGGAGGATAACACAAAGTTTACTTTTAAAAGGAGGGAGGGAGGTAAGAGATTTTATAGTCATACTACAGGAGGAGAAAAGGGGTGGAATTGCTTAACAAAGCCTCTTCTAAAACCAAACACTGCACAGATGAATGGATGGCAATGCGAGCATAAAATGCCATTTGTGTATTGAGTTGAAATGGCTGCTGTTTGAATCCTTATCACACAAAACCTAATGTGACGAGAAATAAACGTGATAAGGAGCTGTGTGAAGACCTCAGGTGTTTTATGCCAAAGCATTTTGAGAGAAAAAATCCCAAGAGAATTTGCATGAAACATGGGTATTTTCCATGTCCTTGTCCAGATGCATAATTGGCAATAAGACATGGTATTGGGGAATCAAAAATGAAGTGGGCAAATAAATAAACAAATCTAGTAAATGGATAAAATCTGTTGCTTGTAGAGGAAGAAGCTGAGAGATGCTAGGTTTTGTTAATCTATTTTTTCTGCATTACTATGTCAAATAGTGATTTCTTTTTTACAAGCCCAGCTGTGATGCAGCTTAATGAAAGAGAGGCCTGCAGTGCCATTCATCTGCAAGGTATAAAGAGGTAGGTAAAGGTCAGGCCATATTTCTGGCAGATATACACAAATCTTAATGTTTCTTGAAGCACCCAAATTACAGAGAAAAAGTGAAAATTCAAATTGTATCTTTGCCTATTAAAAAGGCACTTTTGACACGAAAGAGCTCGCAGCACTCTGGACACGGGGATGCAGAGTAACAGGATGCATGTCATAAGCTGTTGTCGACTCGCGTTCTCTGCCATGCCTCTGCACTAAGTTTGCCATATAGTGTGGGGGAATATGAGGGTGATGCTAAGTGAAATGCTCATTTTGCGTTTGTGATTACCAAGGCCCATGGGCGATATGCACTAATGTGAGCTAATGCAATAGATTACACAGTGCTGGCCCAGGGGAACAGACAGCAAACAGATGTGGTCTACTCAAAAAGGGAGGAGGGGTAAGAATAGAAAAAAATCTAAGTTTAAAGTGTTCAATGTGCTGAAGATTGTCCCTTGCAATTTGTTGTTTACAGAATGCACGGCGTGATAGGTCCTGTCAGGCGTCTCCGTGTGCAGATATGGGGAGAATCAACAAAAGTGTGCTCGTGTCTTTTAAAGAAGACAAACTTCTCTCAGAAACATTTATTTTTCAGAGTAAAAGTGCACCGAATCACAAAGCACTGCTCACCAGGTGTTGCCTTTGATAGCTGATTGGCAACACCTGTGTGACATCAATTAAGGTGTGGAGTGGACACAGGCGTAGTAGGTATGTTCATTTAAAAGCAAAGAGAGCAGCATTTTGTTTGTCCCTTGTAGAAAAGTGTACTTTTGAAACAGACGTTTGTATTTTAAGGTGTACTTAGTGTCAAGGTTAATAAACACTCCTTTATTTGGAATATAGTTATGTTATTATTTGTTCTCACCTGGCCACAATAAACAGACTTGTAAGTGACTGTACGACATGCTGCTCAAACTGAACATGCAAGGCTTTGAAATCTGACATGGCTCAAATCTAGACTTTGTAAATACTGCTCTCTAGTGGTCAGTCTGGATCATTGAAAGTAAAAGGAGTACACATCCTATATTCTGTCAGTCACATCAGAAAGCAGCCTACCAATCAAAGTTACATTGAAAGCATGGAAGGCCTCAAACTGCCGCTACATCTGTACATTTTGCAAAGGGCTTTGCATGGGAGGAATATTGTTTTCAAATATATATTAGTAGTCAAAATAATCCAAGGCACAATATGGGGATTTTACTTGGCTAAAAATGTATAGCCAAGTCAAATCAGTGCATTGTAGTTTTGCCTAAATCTAAGTGTGCTTTGATATTTTGTTGACTTGCCTAATATACACATTTGAGACCATTTACAACCAACATTAGAGTAGATTGCCTATCAATAAAATAACCAAGATGAACACACAGTTTTTCGTCTCACTTTATTATTGAAATGTGTCATACAAATCTCAAACAATATTTTCTTTTTTACATAAGCACACATGTAATGTGAATTCCAAACACAACAAAAGAAATAACTTAACCCAAGCCTTTCAAAGTGGCAGAAATACGAAATGACACAAAAGTCTAAACGGCTCGTAAATGAGTTAACCTGAGACGATATGTTCACAGTGTGTATTTCATCTAACCATTTATCAACCATCTGTATATTCCTCCAAACTATAGTGATGCATCTACCACCAGATCACAATCCAGGAATGACTGCAACTTGAAACTAAATAACACTTTCATTGCCTGAACAGTGACAACATGTAATGTCCAAAATAATACAGCATCGCCATTTGATAACAGAACTGGTGAGATTTGGTATATTTTACAGCGTAAGGATTTGAGGCACCACTATAGATGAAAGCTGTTTTCAAAAGGACAAATATTAACCAAACAATCGGTTCTGTGTTACAGTTAATGGTGCGCCAGAGGTGGCCTCAGCAGTACTGGTTCTGTATTCTTTTTTTTGTGGTGCCTTACTAAACACAGATACACCTGACAAACACATGTAGTTATACAAGTCTGTCTAGTTATACTACAAACCAAAACATCCGTCTCTGATCGATAACTAGGAGCAGAGGCTCAGCTGACATGATGGCTCCAGCAGCTTTACAAAAATAACAGCGTGACAACATGAGGTAGACCACTCACACACACAGGACCTGGTACTCTGGCCTGTGTGTGAGCCATCGAGTTACTAAACAGAGAATCCCCACCCTTCAGTGCCTTGGAGAAGGGAAACACCACGATACTGCCTGTACATAAACAGTAAGTGAACAGAGCAGCAATTCTACACAAAATGTACATTACATACTTTATATATTTGTATCTACTGAAAGCTTACAGATATATTTATGTCATCCCACAAAGTGTACTGTTATGACACTTACAGATATCTGAACTTTAGTGTGGGTCAAATTTGGATTAAGCAACAGTTTTGAATAGAAACAAATATCACCGTGGACACCAGTTGATCTTCAAAGAGAGATGATCTGCACTTTTTATCCAAAAAGAAAATATACAGCCTCAGCCATGAAATGTCAATGCATCAAATGTCCCTCTTCTGAAAATCATATTACGTTTGGAGAGCCTAATGAGCACAAACCATCTCTCTTAAATCCTAATTTGAACAATTTCTCCAAGAAATCATGGCTCAAATCTAATTTATTTTCAATATGTTCAATGACTTTTATATCAGTACCAGGAAAACGATTCTGGTCAGGGTTCGCAAATCAGAAAAAAAGAAAGCTCTAGTTGTTTATTCTTCAAAAAATATTTGTCCACCTTTTTTACCTCGGTGCCACTTTAGGTGCTTTTGTCAGTGGTCCCGTAGCGCTGGTGGGGGAAAGGGCCCGAGGAATCTCTCCTCTGGAGGCTGGGCATTGTGGGTAAGTGTTGGTACAGCACAGTTCTGCCGCCTGAGGAGGAATATGAAATGTTAACTCTACAAACCGCCATGCAGACATTAAAGTCATTTCTTTTCTTGATCCAAGGTTTCAAGGCTTTTACTGTCATTCGTACAGTGTCGTTATGTCGATGGAAATCTGAGGTCCCAGGCTCCTCCAACAGTGCAACACAAGAAAACAGATACAATAGTGCAAGTAAATACAAATAAATCCAGCACACATAATACATGTAAACATCAAACTTTATACCCTCGTGCAATTAACCCTTTTTTTCTTCTTTCAACTTCATTTTCAATCTGTAAACAGGACGAGCAACTTCTATATTTTTCATAGTCTTTTTATATACACTGCTACTTAGTAGTCGGTTATTTGTCTTTTTCACTTATTGTGTTTTAATTAATAAAAACGTGTGCCTTCTTTTTTATATAATATGAAAGTGTTCTCTTTTGAATGTATCTGCACTATACTCTTGCTGTTGTAATACCGTATATTTACCCGGTGCAGGACACTTAAAGACTTCTGAAACATACCTGCTCTGGGGTTGGCCAGTTGCCCGGGGTTCCCTGCGGTGCTGTGGTAGAGGGAGGCCAGCTCGTTGGGGGAGTAGGAGCGCAGGAGGTTCATCATGCCCCACTCAGCGTCCAGACTCCCTCCTAGAGCTGCGGACGTCTTCAGAGAGCTCTCGGAGGCTGTGGATGGACCCGGCATTTGCGGCGTGCTCTTCCTCCCCGAGATGAGCATCCTGTTCCCTGTTGCTCCTCTGAAGCCCAGCATGTCCCCGGGGTCCACCTCCCTGCCTGTAGGGACCCCGCCGTATTTTAATCTCTTGCCCGAAGGTTCGCCAAAATCCATTTGAGGGAGGTTTCCGAACCGGCTGGAGAGGCAGAGCCGGGCAGCATCCGAGTGCCAGATGACTCCGCTCCTCACCGGGTAACTCCTCCCCCCGATGCCCACCCTCTCCGGGGGGGCCGGGCGCTCCATGGTGAACTTGCTGCCTGCGTTTGGTTTCATCATGACCTCCGTGTACCTGGAATATTCCTGATGTGCGTCGATGCTGCGCTGAGTCTCCTGGACAGCCTCCTGCACGGGTGCACGGATAGGAGAGAGCTTTGGGGGTTCGGGGGTCTTTTCAGGTGGTTTCGGAGGTTGAGGGGGAGGGGATTGGGTTCGACGAGGGTGGCGCCGGTCGATCATCGGAAGAGGGATGACGTCTTTCCCTTCGAGCGCAGGGGGGCAGCCTGTCAAACGTTTTACTCTCAGACAACCGTTCTTTTTCGCGCCGCCTGACTTGTCTCTATGGGTGAGCTTCTTGTGCATGATCAGAACCTCGGGGTACATGGTTTTATACGCACACAACGAGCAGGAGATTGTTATCGATGCATTTTTGGGGCCGGCGGGGATGGAGAGAGACACTTTTAAGGACAGATTTAACGGGGCCTCCTCGCAGTTTTCGTATAGTATCTCCTCCATTTCCATCTTCAGGTTCACGGGTACGGGACACTTTATGAGCGCACTGTCCGTCGGGGAGTAAGCAGACTTAGCGGTCAACTCCTCATACTCTGCATTAATCTGGGCGAGGGGTTTGCCGATCTTGCTGCTTATGCTTTCAAATCTGTCCTCTGGCGTTCTGTTGGTGCACGATCTGGCTGCGGGAACCCAGAGTTTGGATCTATTTGGCGCGGGACTTTCCTCACTCCCATGTTTTTTATCGTTAGGAGAGGGCGTGGGTTTGCTGGGGATGTCCACTAAGGGTTTGTCCTTGTGGCGGCGATCCAGGTGATACTTCAGTGAAGTCTTCTGGGCCGCAGCGTAGTCGCAGTAAGCACACTTGAATGGTTTTTCACCTGAAACAAACAAAGATTCAAACCTAATTATAGCATAGTTTGAAATACAAGCCACCTCATTTCAAAATCATGTAGGCAGTATGATGTTCATTATTGAATCATTGAAACGTGTCGAACATACCTGTGTGAGTCCTGAGATGAACCGTGAGGTAGTAGCTGGATCGGAAAGATTTGCCACAATAACTGCACGCTTTTGATCTGACTTTTGATCGCTCAAAACCATCCTCACCTTTGAAAATAGACACAAAAACATACAGAGAGGAATAAGACAGTATAAAAGCCAACTAGCAGGTGTTATAATCTCTCCCATCAGCAGGGGGAGCACTTGGTAAAGTTCTTTGTATGAAAAACAACTCCTAAATCCCAATTAGGACAGTATGAGTATGAGAGTGTAATGTCATTTACCTGGACCCAGGTTTTCTGTCAACGCTGCTTCCTCAAATCCTTCCTCACAACCTTCTTCTGCGTGATCAAATGAACCTACTCTCGACAACTTCCCTTCCAAAGAGGAAGTGGGACTGTCTCCGCCCACTCGCTCTCGCTTGTGGACCCGGGAGTGGAGAACCAGCTGGTGGTAGGTCCTGAAAGTCCTCTGACATTCCTCACAAGTGGTTGGCCTTTCTTTGTGTTTGTCTTTTTGCATCAGAGACCTCCGCTTCGGCGCTGGGTTTTCTGCTACAGTCTGAGGTCGGAGCTCCTTCCCAAGGCCTTCTTTGGTGGGTTTGTCTCCTTGTCCCTCAGACCAAATATTATTTAACTCCTCCTTATCTGAGCCGCATTCCTCATTGTCTGTGCTGGCTTCCTGGCCGATATCTTTAATATTATTAGGGCCAACTGCTATCTTGCCCTTTGTTGCGAGTTGCCAGGCCTGATATGTGTTGAATGGATCCAGCTGGGGAATCCATTTGGATGATCTCTCTGTTTTTCTTAAAGAGCGAGGCATGAGGTTTAGACTGTGAAGAAATGTTTCCTGTTTGGCAGTAGTGTCTTCCATTTCCTCTTTATCTTTGCCGGGCTCCACCTCTCGATTGTGAACCTTACTGTGCTCAGCCAAACTGTCATGGTCGGGGAAGAAAAAGCCACACACCATGCACATTTTGTAAACAGTGCTCACAGGTTCTGGAGGAGTGTCTTGGACGATACCATTGACCGTGGCGGGGGTCTCCAGATCTTGCTGGGACTTGCTCTTTGCTCCGGGTTTCACGTGCATCTTCATGTGGTTCTTCAGAAACCACGGCTCTCTAAACCTCCGTCCACAGAAGTTGCAGCAGTAAGTGAAGTAGTCCTTGTGCTTCCTCATGTGGGCCTCCAGCTCGTTGGCATCTTGCGACACCTGTCCGCACACGATGCAGTTGCGAACCTCCTCCTCCTCCTCCACGGGGATGCTGCTGAGTTTGGACCGGGGTCTCTCTCCTGGGAGCCTGAACTCTGCTTCCACTCTGAGCACAGCCGGCTCAGAGAAGGTGGAGGGGTGCTGTGTCAGAACGTGGGGTCCTAACTCGTCCTGGTGAGTAAACGTGTGATCACAGAACATACAAGATAGTGGCACACTTCCTCCTGATTGCAACACCGCCTTCTCTGAGTAGGAGGTGTGTGGTGTCATGCTGGAGCCGGGCCCTGGGGTGCTCGCGTTACTATAAAGAATATCTTGGGCAAGTCCATCTGGGCTCTCCACAAACGGTGACAGAGAGTGAGTCGGCATTTTGCTCTGAAGGGGGGGACGCTGCACACACTGTCCGAGTTATTAGGGACCTGAAACAAAAGGAAAAGTACCTTTAGACTCTGCTGTATGTCAAAACAGAATCAGGTAGCTGCTACTGAATTGGAGATTGAATACATTTAAAAATGTACAGAGAGAACGGCCTACCCTTAGACTGAAACAGGAAACAAATCTCTTAAGCAATCAACTGCACAAACAACTGGTTTCCTCTCTGTACAGGTCATTGATAAAACATTCAGACATGGCTTTGTACTGCTCACAAGTATTCTTTTTACTAATTAACTTTCTTTGGTTTGGAAACTCAAAAGTGTTAACAATAATTTAACACTATATCAAAAAAGTCATTTTGTAGAAAATATCAGAACTATCACATTTACTTATGTATTTGCAAAAAACAAAGCTTTAAGCTACAATTGTTTCTCAAAAATAATTGTAGACGATAATAGTTGCTATAAAATGTTAAAGAAAAATGAACTAAAGTTGAGTTAAGGTATTCAAATATCACTTAATTAAAACAATAGCCTTTTTTAGCCTTTCCTGGACAAAAACATACCTTAACTAAATTTGACAATTATTTTTTTCTTTTTAGTAAACCGAATAAAGTATTGGCACTAAACATTTAAAAAAACAGTCAAACATGTAAGATATAAAACGTTTTGATGTTATACTGGCCAACAACACCTGTCTGCCTCACATTGTCAATTATAAGGAAGCTCTAAGGAGTAAATAACCTTACATTTTCCCTTTGTCTGACTGTTGAATACTTCCTTGTCTCAGTAGCTCTTTTTTTGTGAGTATCATGAACTGAAGACACAGACAGTACAAAGTTGAAGAAATCCTCATCAACTTCTACGTTTGTTTGTCCCAAGGGTGGAGCGACTGGTAGAGCAAGTTCAAATAATACTAAAAGAAGACTGCTACAGAAGCAAAACAGACAGCAGTCCACTTTACAGTCTCCATATCTATGAATCCACACTTTATTTTATTTAAATATACATTGAATAAGTATTAGACTGAATAGTTACACCTGGGGAAAGTAGTTGGTAATAAATTGTTTGTTGTTTTTCATTGAACCACCCGTATCTCCTCAATAAACTTCAGCATTGTGGCAGGTTGTGCAACTAAGTACATTTACTGAAGTACTCTACTTAAGTAAATAATGTAGGTACTTGAACTTTACATGAACATTTTCACATTATGGTACTTTGTACTTTTACTTCACTATATTTTGTTGGCCAATGTTGTCCCCTGCATTTATGTTACATATTTAGTTACTTTGCAGTGTTAGATTAATAATAAACTGACACATACATTATGATACATTAGTATAGGTTAGGCTTAACAGTAGTGAGAATTGAAGTGATAAACATATAAATGCAACATTAATAAAAAAAAAAGGTCTGCCATTTTAATGTGCATAACAAGTACTTTTGGTATTTTTTTAATGCTTATACTTTTTTTTGGAAATAAAACTTAAGTACAAATTTGAATGCATATTTACCCTCTAATATTGCTACTTTTACTTAACAAATAATCCAAGTACTTCTTCCACCTTTGGTGCAAAATGTTACTATTTGTCAGAGGTGGGAAGTAACTATGTACATTTACTGAAGTACAGTACTTAAGTACAATGTTGAGGTATGTATTTCCATGTTATGTTACTATGCAACAATTCAGAGGTAAATCGTGTCCTTTTATTCCACTGCATTTATTTTGTGCCTTTAGTTACTAAATAGGATTAATGTTGTGAGATATAATCAACTCTTAAATCAGACTTTAGTTCCACCTGGAGTAAATTCACAAGCTACCCTGCAGCATACAAAGCCATTCAAACTAGCTGCACCTTTACCAGCTTTGATTAACAGACAATAATTAAAATCAAAACACATCATATATTATTCAGAAATGGACCAATCTGCATAATAAGTATTTTTACTTTTGGTACTTTAAGTATATTTTGATGCTTTCCTACTTTTACTTGAGTAACATTTTGAATGCAGGACTTTTACTTGTAACATAGTATTCCTACACTCTTCTACTTTTACTTATATCCAATATCTGTGTACTTCTCCCACCTTTGCTATTTTTTTACCATTATTACTTTGCCTTGTTGAACTTTTGACTTAACCCAGGTGGGACCATGCTACTGTCGATAATGACCCAGTGTGATCTTTTTTTAAAGAGCACGCCTGCTTTGTGTGAGGCAGCGTTAGCCACCTTGTTATTTAAGTAAGCTCAGCCCTCGTTAACACCACTAATTTGCTAGGGAGTGGGGGATGCTCAAAGTCACTTTAACATTACACCCTTTAAGTTTAATCAAATTAATCCAAAATCAAAGTATGTTAAGCGTTGTTGCTATAATATGTCTATGTGTGTATAATAACCAGAACACGAGGGTGACTTCTTTTAAACGTTAAATATATCAATAATGGCTGATTTCTTCAAAGAATACGCATTACATTGAGTGGAAACACGTTCCTATAGCGAGGATTTCATGACAACAAATGAACGATACATTGTGTACTTACGATGTTGAGTATTCATTTGTTTAACGCCATTTCTTAAACTAAAACCTCGGATAAAGTTAACGTAACCACGACAACGTTGACAAAAACAAACTCGAATTCTCCCTAAACGTTAGCACACTTTGTGTTGTCTTCGAACAAACTGCAGAAAGTCACCAAACAATACCTTACCAAGTGAGAATTTCCGGATTAATAATGACACTTGATACTACGAGCGAGTCAATTCAGGAGTTCAGAGCGAAGTGTGTGACTTCTGGCTTCTTCTTCATTTCACACATACACGCCTGGGGAAAAACAGCTCACCTATTGAATTGTTTGAATGTGAATCATATTTGTTCGAGTCCTGCTCCTCACTCTGTGCAGCTGTTGAACTCTGAGGCGCGCTCCCTCCTCTTCCAACGATTCTCACAAGGGGAAGATGGAAGCGCGTGCACGGCAACCCCAAAAAACCTATAGGGCAGTCACGTGGTCGACGAATAACATAAAAGGGATTTAGATACGTGTTAAAAACCTGGTAAAAACACACGAATTAAACCGTAAATGTTATGTATTTCACAATGACTGTCTTTATTATAGTAATGCCATTACATTAATACAAAACAATTAAACTGTCAAGCACAACTACCATCTATGTAAAGAACCATAGCTTTGTTGTATGTTTTTAACATATTTTTTAATATTATTATATATATTATCATTATTTTTGTTACGTTTATTCTTCTCTTCTGTATACACCTGTGCTTTTTTGTTAGTTTGTGTTCGAAGACACTGAAAGCCATGTTGTTTGTACATGACTTTTTCCAATAAAGATCTTAATAAAGAAAAAAATCCAATGCCAATGAGGTAGAAAACATACATGCGTAGGATTGATGTAAAACTACGAGATCTTCCTACGTCACCAGATACAGGTATGGCTGTTTTGGACATTTATTAACTGGCATGTGTATTAAATCACCCATAATACACTTCCATTATAATACGACAGTCTAATGTGTTATGTCTAACTGTGTTTACTTCACTGACTTCGGCCTAGCTCGTATGATAACGCGTCTAAAAGCTACTTTAATGTATGTAAACAGTCACCGAATTGGTTTCTTTATGCAGATTATGGCCACAGGCTACACAACAACACTGTTTCTTATGTATTGCTGCAGTGAACCTACCTAAAGTGTAACCCACCGTCCACGCTCTCACGTCATGCATCAGCCACCATGTGGAGATGGGGGAGGGGTGCCTCAAACTTTTCACAGTTACATGAGGGTTTTTTTCTTCTTTTTTTTTGCAGAAGTAGGTTGAGTGAGTCATGATATAAGTCGGCTAGTTCCCATTTATAAAAGATGAAAAACGTACCTTAAAGTATGACGGTTTTATGTGTAATTTGATTTGTGGTGACTTGAAAAAAAATACCTTTTATAAAGCCATATGCAAATGCATGTGTTTGATCATCAAGAGAGGGGGTGGCTCCCTAGAGTCCCTACAGCCTAGATAGGGGCATGTCCAACCTTATAAGCTATTCTAACAAGTCTAATCACAATACTACATTATGACAGGGATAATGAAAAGTCCCTATAAGGTTGCATTGACACAAAACACCCCATAAGATGAAAACACTGATTTGTATAAGATAAAGACAATCACACCCACTTGGTAATGTGAAGTTAAATAGAAAGCCCCTCCTCCACCCTAACAAACAGACACCAGGCATTGATGGCAGCCTAAAGCCATACATTGTATAATCAATGAGGATATTCAGTAGACTTCAGTGTACATTCATTATTGAGACACACGCACACACACACACACACACACACACACACACACACACACACACACACACACACACACACACACACACACACACACACACACACACACACACACACCCTCCACCCTAGTGGCAGTAATGTCTCAAAAAGAGAAATAACATTGTATCAGTAGCCACTCCCAGTTAAGGAACAGTGAACAAAGACCATTTTTTTTGGCTAGATTGTTGTCTTATCCTCCCTCTCGTATAGGCGGTGATAGGGTTTTGACTTTAGGACCATATAAAAAATGGTTTTGTAATACTTGCTGTTACAAAACAGGTCAGACCAATCTGCTGTTCCTAAAACACAATCTGCTGGTTTGACAAGCAGACGTCTCTAAAGGCACCAATGAAGGCCAGATACAGAAAGAATAGCCCCTGTCACGTATAAAACATATCTTATAGTAAAAACAATTGTATTGTTTGTTTCGTAACTTCAAGTATTGGGTTAAATAGGCCATGTGTTGCATAAGATGTGTTTTTATTTAATTTTTGCTTTCTCTTTTTATATCTCCATTATCATCAATATACTTACTATATATACCTTTTATTATATTTTCATAATGTCGTCTTATATGTTTTTGATTTATTTAGTTGCGTTTTTCTTTTGTTTTCTTTCCTTTTTGTCGCCATTATCGGTATTATTTACATATAATATTTATTATTTAAACCTATTTATTTTTCATTAATTTATTTTTATTTTTTCTCTTCGTTTTTGCCACTGCTTTTAATTGATGTATTCATATCTTAAACTGCACTGTATCTTTGCTTTTTAATGCTATTTTCTTAATGTCTTTCATTTTTATAAAGCACTTTGAATTGCCTTTTCCCCCCAAAGGTAGTTAAGTCATTATTGGGGTTAAAGTCCCCTCGTCGTAGGTGGTTGAAGTCCCCTACGTGTGCCGTTTTGGTTTCAAGACCCTGGTTCGCGGAGGACACCAAAAAACTCCTAGAAAAGACAACTTAAACTTAACTATGTGCATTTAAAGAGAAGATGAATAGTTTTGGCGAAAACTAAAAAGGTACCATGGGGTACAGGAATTAGTTTTGGTTTCAAGACCCTGGTTCACGGAGGACACCAACAAAGTCCTAGAAAGACCAGGTCAACTGAACTATGTGCATTTCAAAATAAAAAAGAGGTACCATGGGGTCAGATTATAATTTTCCAAAGGGGGGTTCGTTTAGCATGAAACACTTGAGATAACTAAAGGACAAGTTAACAAAGAAAGTAGAAAGAAAGGGAGGGAAAACTATTGCTGCTAAAAAAGTTAGCAATGATTGAGAGTCAGAGCTAAACATTTCAGATGTGTCACTTTTATTCATTATTCATTGCTTTTAAATGAGTGTTTTTAGATATCATTTCATAATATGTTTCTTAATGCTATTAATGTCTTTCATTTTTGTAAAGCACTTTGAATTGCCTCGTGTTGAAATGTGCTATGTAAATAAACTTGCCTTGCCTTCGTTATCAGTAATATTATACATATTATATTTATTATTTTTCCACAATGTCCTTCTTTGTGTTTTTCATTTATTTAGTTGCATTATTCTTCCATTATCACAAATATTGTATAATACTTATTCTTTTAATCAAAATCTCCTCCTATGTATTTTTCATTCAGTCAGCTGTGTTTTTCTTACATATTCTCTTCCTTTTCCTGTACATCAAATATTTATACTTTTTATCAATATGTATTTTCATTCACTTTGGTGTGTTGTCTTCAGTTTGTCACTTTATTTCAATGTTCTGGGTTGGAGGATTTCGACCTGTTGTATAGTCATTTTAATTCACCATGGCATCAGTTGTACATATTGGACTGATGAATAACATTTAAGTGTCACATTTAAAAAGAGACATTTAAATAAAGTGTCTTAAACAGTGTTGAATCATCCTGCATTCAGTTGCCTTTATTAGGACTCAATCACTTACATGTTCTTCCCTGACTTGTGATACTGATTCATTACTTTGGTATTCTTTCCTCACCCCAAGATCCTGTTACACAAACAAGTCTAGTATGTTAATCAAAGGCACCACATGTGACACGTCGAGGCCTCCCGCTCATTGCCTATTGTTCTGCGGCCACAAAGGCTGTGAAAGGCTATCAATCTGCAGAAGCATGATGAAAATGCCAGGAGATGTTATAGCCTATCGTAAAAAAAGACATCTATGTGGAGGTGGTGGTAGCTTTGTGTTTAACTAGATTTGCTTTCAATTATAATGCAGTTAATTACATAGCATTCATTTTCTGAAGTGGTATTGACAGCAACAAGTGGGCGAACATTGTTTACTGTTCACTGATTCAATTAACCGTGTCCTATTGTTTGACTTTATGCTAATGTCATTTCTCATCCACAATCCTGCAAACTCATTGTCTCAGATTGCTTCAAAAAAACAACATACATGTGTGCATTCAAACCAGAAGTGTGTACCTTTTAATTAAAGATAAAGTGGCAATCTTTGAATGCTCGAATGAGTAATTATGTATTCAGGAGACAGACAGCCTGAGAGGAACCGGATCAGCGAATGGGGAAAGGCTGAGGTTGCTTCTTTTTGTCTTGACGTGCCAGGAGCAGCTGACTGCTTTGTTCTCCTCCAGATTCACCGCCCGGCTTCTTTCATAATCCTGAGAGACACTGATAATATATGATCTCCTTTCTCACCCCTAGCCGGCAATGTTAAGTCAATGCAACCAGCTGTTGTGTCGTGGATCATCAGTGTGACACAGTTGATCAGGACCAAAAAGCATTCCTTTTTTCTGAGTAATGCAAATATTTGACATACTTTGCATATTTCCTGAGGAGATATTGAGGATGTGCTCTTTGTTCTGCTGCTATCTTTACTGGCTATGTCAGTATCGACCCATATAATACAATATATAAAAGAAATAAAGTCTATAATGTCGAGGACTGGGAGAATACACTATAATGAAAGTGAAAAGGTATACAGAAATAAACATATCAAATCAAGTTTTATTTATATAGCACATTTATAAACGATTTTTGGTCGAGCCAAAGTGCTGTACATATAGTAAAATTAGCCTACACTTTACAGCAAATACAACAGCACAGATTGTTCAGAATATCAGTATGCGAAAAACGACACCCTCTGTCCTTAGACCCTCACATCGTACAAGGAAAAACTTCCAGAGAAAACCCACAGTTTAAAGGGGAACATGGGAGAAACCTCAGGGAGAGCAACAGAGGAGGGATCCCTCTCCCAGGACGGACAGACGTGCAATAGATGCCGTGTGTCAATCCAAGAGATAATACTTTTTACAGCATATAGACCGAATGTTAATATGTAAATATGCAGATAAGTATTGAATAGTTTCTTAGTCATTATTATTTAGATAAGCATAGCGAGAGTTATGCATCTGTTGAATACTGCTATTTGGAATATTAGGTTTTTCTAATCATCAAAACAAGGAGAAACTAACAAAATGCTGTTTACCTGTTCTTAATCTCAAATATAAAATACATCGCTTGGAAACATGTGGAAAAATAAATCTTACATTTAAAATTGGCAGATTAGGATGCCACACCTCGGTTTAGACGCATTTACTCTGTAGTCAATCATTCTGTGCTACACAG